GGCAGAAATCCAAGTTTAACAGCACACATACTTAATTTGTTATAGGCATAAAAGCATCCTCATATCCTGTTCAGAATGCAAAGTGATTAACTAACATGAAGTGAAATATGGCAATGGTTAGCTAAATTACATGATTTTACCATTTAACCCAGAAATCCCAATTCTGGGAACCAACCACAAGGGCACACTGGCCAAAGAAAGAGGTGTAGGAACAAGGCTATATCACTATTTATATTTGCAAAAAAAACTAAAAACAACCCAAATATTGATTACTAAGGAACTAGTTGAATGTGTTATGGTATACTCACACCATGGAGTGCTAAGCTACTGGAAAAAGAACTGAGGAATATCTCCATGTAGCACTACAGCGTGAACTCCATAATATATTAAGTGACAAAACAAAGTTTAAGTTAGGGGCACCTGGGTGCCTCAGATGGTTAAGTGTCTGCCTTCGGCTCAGGTCATGATCTCTAGGTCCTGGGATCAAGCCCCATATCTGGCTCCCAGCTCAGCGGGGAGTCTGCTTCTCCCTCTCCCTCTCCCCCTGCTCATGTTCTCTCTCTCTGTCTCAAATGAATAAAATCTTTAAAAAAAACAAAGTTTAAGTGAGAAAATCAAGTACAATATGGGACACACAAAGATCTACATATAGGCCTGCTTATATTAACAGTAACAAAATGACAGGGCACTTGGGTGGCTCAGTCGTTAGGTGTCTGCCTTCGGCTCAGGTCATGATCCCAGGGTCCTGGGATCGAGCCCCGCATCGGGCTCCCTGTTCAGCGGGAAGCCTGCTTCTCCCTCTCCCACTCCCCCTGCTTGTGTTCCCTCTCTCGCTGTGTCTCTCTCTGTCAAATCTTAAAAAAAAAACCAAAATGAGAATCACTATATTGCACATCTAAAGTTAATATAAAATTGTATGTTAACTAACTGGAATTAAAATAAAAACTTAAAAAAAATGGTCACCCACATTGGGTAAGAGAAGGAGTAAGATGGGGGACAGAGATGGAACCAGACTGATCTGTGCATATGCTTTGCTTTATATTCACAGTCCATCCTCAGAAACATTTAAATATTTTTTATCCTTATCGGAAAATAATTATCAAAATGAAAACAAAACTCTAAAAACAAAGAGCAAATGAAACAAATGAATCATATTGTGTCTCAATTTGATGCTATACCTCAGAGAGGAAATACCTCCTGAGTTAAGACACAGGAATATGACTATGTATCACAACGGGAATATACCCAAGGATAAAAGAACTAAAACAAAAACTAAAAAAACACCAAAAAACAAAACAAAAAGAAAAAGCCCAAATAAAAACAAAAACCATGGAAAAAAGATTCACAAATCTGATGACATCAAAATGTAAAACTTTCATATGACCAATGATACCACGAAGTGAAAAAAATAAGACAAACCCTGGAGAAGACATTTACAATGAATAGAAGAAAGATTACTATACAAAACTCATAAGGGATATTTATAAATTAATAAGAAATACAGAAAATTAACAGAAAAATAAGTAAAAATATACAAAATACATAAATCAACATTTCACAGAAAAAAAGTGAAAGGCCCAATCTTATCCATAATCAGAGAAATATAAATCAAAACCATGAGGTTTCCATCATCCATCAGACTGGCCATAATTTTGAAATAACAGTATCAACTGTCAACAAGGAGACAAAGAAAAGCTGTCCTATCATAGAACAGCTGGTGAGAGTCATATGGTCACTTAGACCAATTTGGCACTACCAAGTGACACTGGAAGTCCTTCGTCTTTATGACCCAACATATTAATCATGTGTGTACACTACGGAATACTTGGAATGCTTGCTCCTATACAGGGAGAGAAAATGTAAAAGATGGTCACTGAAGATATATACGTAATAATGATAAACGGAAATGACATAAGAAGAAATGGACAACTAAAATGTATGCTGTCATAACAGAATATTAAAAGGAATCAAGTATTAACCAATTTGGATAGATCTTAAATGCAATATTAAATTTTAAACAAAGGGGCACCTGGGTGGCTCAGTCAGTTAAGCATCCAGCCCTTAATTTTGGCTCAGGTTATGATTTCAGGGTCGTGAGATCGAGCCCCACGTTGGCCTCTGTGCTCAGCAAGAAATCTGCTTGAGATTCTCTCTTCTTCTCCCTGCCACTCCCACTTGTGTGCACTCTCTCTCAAATAAATAAATCTTAAAAAAAAAAAAAAAAAAACAGCCAAGGGGCACCTGAGTAGCTCAGTCGTTAAGTGTCTGCCTTCGGCTCAGGTCATGATCCCAGGGTCCTGGGATCAAGCCCCACACTGGGCTCCCTGCTCAGCGGGAAGCCTTCTCCCTCTCCCACTCCCCCTGCTTGTATTCCCTCTCGCTGTGTCTCTGTCAAATAAATAAATAAAATCATTAAAAAAAAATAGCCAAAACAATCTTGACAAATTTGTCAAAAAGAATTTGTTCAGGAGAACAAACTGGAGAACTCACATGTCCTGACCTCAAACTTTCTACAAAGCTACAGTATCAAAACGGAAGTGGCATGATATTATACATACAGAGCAAATGAACAGAACTGAGAGTCCAGAAATAAACCCATATATCTATGGTCAAATGATGTTCAATAAGGGTGCCAAGATGATTCAATGGGAGAAAAAAATGGTCTCTTCAACAGAAGGTATTGGAATTGGATATCCATATGCCAATGAATGAAAATGGACCCCTTCCTCATATCATATACAAAAATTAACTCAAAATAAATCAAAGACCTAAATGTAAGAGCTAGAAACTCGAACACTCTTAGAAAAAAACAGGAGTGAATCTTCATGATCTTAGACTGACAGCGGATTCTTAGATATGACATCAAAAGCAAACAGAACAAAGGAAAAGAGATTAAACAGACTTTACCAAATTAAAACCTTTTGTGAATCAAAGGCTATACTTTCAAGAGAAGGAAAAGAGACAACTCACAGAATGGGAAGAAATATTTGAAAATCATGTATCTGATAAAAATCTAGTACCCAAAATACTCTTACAATAAATCCAATTTAAAAATGGGCCAAGGATTTGAATGGACATGTCTGCAAAGCAGATATACAAATATCCAACAAGCACATGAAAAGGTACTCATTAGTAATTAGGGAAAAGCAAATCAAGACCACAATGAGATACTACTTCACACCCACTAGGATGGCAATAATAAAAAGATAATCATTGTCAATAATGAGGAGAAACGAACTCTCATACATTGTTGGTGGAAATATAAAATTGTGCAGGCACTGTGAAAAATGGTTCGGCTGTTCCTCAGTAAGTTAAAACTACAACTAAGGCATGATCCAGCATTTTCACTTCTCAGTAAATACCCAGAAGAACCAAAGACATGTATTCCAGCAAAACTTGCACATGAATGTTCAGAGCAGCACTATTCAAAGTAGTGGTAAAGCAGAAACAAGCCAAATGTCTGTTAGCCAGTAAGTGGAAACACAGAATGTGGTCCATCCGTACAGCGGAATATTCTTCAGCAATAAAAAAGGAATGAAACCTTGGTAAAAAGGTACAAACATTCAACTGTAAAATGAAGGTCTGAGGATCTAATGTATAACATGGTGACTATAGTTGATATCACTGTATTGTACAAATAAAATTTGCTGAGAGCAGAACTTAAATGTTCTCACCAAAAAAAAAAAAAAAACAAAACCGAAGAAATAAAGAAATATGTGAGGGGATGGATGTGTTAGATTAGATGTGAGGAGTCCTCTCACAATGTATACAAATACCAAAATCATCACGATGTTCACTACGTATCTTACAGTTTTGTCAAATATACCTTAATAAAGCTGGAAAAGAAAAACAACGAAGTCTGTAACATGTTCCAATATGGATGAAGTTTAAAAACATTATACTAAGTGAAGGAAGACACACACAAAAAAATACATACTGTATGATTATACGCATATAAAAGATCGAGAAGAAGCAAGTCCATACTGACAAAGTAGATTAGTAGTTGTCAGGGTCTGGGAATTTTGGAGTTATTTTAAGGGCACGCAGTCAATTTATTCTATAGAAGTTCTAGGTTTTATCAAGGGAAAACAAAAACAAACCAAGACCATGGGAAAGTGGTCTACATGGGCTTCAGTAATAGTCTCCTAAAAAGCCTCATTGACTGGGTTCTGCTTGGTACTCTGTTTTTTGCTTCCACTGAAGGATAATTATAGGCTTTTAGTTCATGGTTTGCCATAAGAAGGTTATCATTTATATAAACAGAAACAAAAGTTTTATTCAGCTCTTGATGCCAGAAAGTCTTTAGGTTCCAAAAGAAATCGGGATGCTCCACGCACGTGTTTTTTTTTCTCCCAGGGGCACGAGGGGAGTCGTGGCTAAAAGGTCAGAAATAGGGGCGCCTGGGTGGCTCAGTCGTTAAGCATCTGCCTTCGGCTCAGGTCATGATCCCAGGGTCCTGGGATCGAGCCCCGCATCGGGCTCCCTGCTCAGCGGGAAGCCTGCTTCTCCTTCTCCCACTCCCCCTGCTTGTGTTCCCTCTCTTGCTGTGTCTCTCTCTGTGAAATAAAATCTTTAAAAAATAAAAATAAAAAAAAATTTTTTTAAATTTAAAAAAAGGTCAGAAATATTTGCAAGTTAAGTCTGATAACCATCTAACTTCATAGGATCTGTGTGTGTATGTGTGTGTGTGTGTGTGTGTGTGTGTGTGTGTCTATCTCCTTGCCAACTCTGCCCTATTGATCTGCTAATCCAACGCTACTAGTCTATAGACCTCAGTATCACCTGCAACCTTGTTCAAAATGAAAATTCTCAGGCCCCATCCTATGGTTTAAAACACTTCCCAGTTTTGATCTGATACACACTAAAATTTGAGAACCACTGTGTCATGCTGTTCCCATCAGGTTCATTTTATCTATTTCTACTTTCCTACTTCAAATATGAATCATTATCCTCATAAGATCCATTGTAAAACAAAGCAGAAAATGACTTCAACAACTCACATAGGATTTGTTCATATTTTGCTGGTCTCTCTTGGAAAACTGTAGAAATTTCTGAAGGCAGAGCTGGGATAGAAAAAGAGGAATGAAGTCATTAGAGGTACAGACTGTCTTGCAGTTCCTGGACTTGCCTTCTTAAAAAGCTGCAAACATCACCTGGGTGAAATGCCTCTCTGCCTCCTGCCCCTTTTCGCCTTGCAGAAGGGGCAGGAAATAACACATGATAAAGCACCCACATGACCACGTATGACTATGATTTGGCTATGCAGAGCTAGGGTGTGCAATTTTTCACTGGGTGTATGGAACTGTTGTCTAGGACATTTTTAAACAAAGTCTGTACCCCTCTGTTCTGTTTCGAAGTAATTTTAAAAATGAGAAAATTGGTTAAGCAAATTACAATACGTTAAATGAAGGAACACTAAACCTTCAGCAGAGGTTGTACAACAAAAGTTGTTACATGTACATTTCCTTGTTTACTTCTCAAGTTAGAGAACACAACCAAAGCTACCAAAAAAAGGATGGAGGCACTTTCAGGTAACGGTACTTTTTAATTGTTTTTTCTCATTTTATTTTAAAGATTATTTATTTATTTATTTGACAGAGAGAGAGAGAGAGAGAGAGAGCCGGTGAGAGGAAACACATGCAGGGGGAGTGGGAGAGGGAGAAGCAGGCTCCCCGCCGAACAGGGAGCCCAATGTGGGGCTCGATCCCAGGACCCTGGGATCATGACCTGAGCCGAAGGCAGATGCTTAATGACAGAGCCACCCAGGCGCCCCTTTTTAATTGTTTTTTTTTAAAGCATGTGCAGATTCTCAAATGGCTGTCTTTTAAGGAATGTGTTTTACCAGTGATGATGTGGTCAGCATGGACTGGGGTGGGAGACTCAACACTTCCTCTGGGTTCTGCCCCAACACAAAGCCAGAGAAATTCACTTACACTCTCAGCACCAATTTCTCCTCAACTTTCAAGAAGAAAAATAAACAACTCTTCTTGTATTGCTGTCCTATAAAGAACTCATCAGCACATCTTTTAAAATGCCAGATTCACTGTGTGAGAAGAGCTCAGAATCTGGGAAAAGCGAAAAATAAAGAGTGGGGGCTGAACTGGGATTGTTGAGACAAAACTGCCTCACATCTACTTTTAAGGCCCTTTCCCACAATCCCTGGAATGCCTCCAGTGAAGTTCTATTTTCCACGTCACCTACCCGTCCTTCACTCCCTCCCGCCCAGCTGCCCTGGTCCCGGCTTCCCTCCATTAGGCAGCCTCGGAGCTTCTGAATGTGGCAACATTTTCAAATCTCATTCGTTCTGAACAGGCTGTGAAAACCTAGGATCTGCTCCTCTCTGGGAAATACACTGCCTCTGCTCAAAATTCACTCAAGAGGTGCCTGGGGGGTTCGGTCGGTTAAGCGACCAACTCAATCTCAACTCAGGTCTTGATCTCAGGGTCACGAGCTGAAGCCCCGCACTGAGCCTACTTTAAAAAGAAAGAAAGAAAAAAAAAAAACAAACCCTCAAATAGTGGGATGGTTCTCTCCACCTAACATTATGTATTTAGAGACTCCTCCTTCTTACTTTGCTTTTCTAACGTAGATGAAAAATGTGCCTGAGGGGCAAATTCATTTTTACTGGAATTGTCACCCAGGCCCACAGTTCAATATTCCATAGACTCTCAGGTCAGACCTTCCATAAACTCAAACCAAGGCTGCTGAGAACTGTTACAAACCTAACTCAGATACAATTATACTGTCTCTATCAAAGGCTCTAAAGACATCTAGAAATCCCAGAAAAAAAAATACTACATGGTTAAGATTCAATCGTTCAAATGCCGATCATTCACATGATAATTCACATGCCGAATTATTTCCGCTAAGTACTGTGCCCAAGACACCAAGCTGCAAAGAACATGACATTTGGAGAAACAACTAAAATTGCCTTGGGGCGCCTGGGTGGCTCAGATGGTTAAGCATCTGCCTTAGGCTCAGGTCATGATCTCAGGGGCCTGGAATCCAAAGCTGCATCAGGCTCCCTGCTCGGTGCAGAGCCTGCTTCTCCCTCTCCCCCTGCCATTCCCTCCGCTTGTGCTCTCTGGCTCTATCTCTCTGTCCAATAAATAAATAAAATTTAAAAAATAAAAATTAAAAAGATAAACAAAACTGTCTTCTGATGGGGCGCCTGGCTGGCTCAGTCGGTTACGGGCTGCCTTCAGTTCAGGTCATGATCTTGCGGTGCTGGAATCGAGTCCTTAGGTAGGGCTCCCTACTCAGCGGGGAGTCTGATTCTCCCTCTCCCTCTGCCCCTCACCCCGTTCATGCGCCCTCCCTCATCTCTCAAATAAATAAAATCTTTAAAAAATAAAATTGAAAAATATAATAAAATAAAATTGCCTTCTAGTTTATCTGCTAGTGTTGTGACACAGGGTATAACATTCCTCTCCATCTCGGTTTTCTAATTTGTTACAGCAGAGAGAGCTATACCGACCTAAGTGAGAGGTTGTGAGCATAAAGTAACCAGTGATAAGAAATAGTCTAACAACAGCGGCTAATATTTACTGCTAGGCACTGAGCTACAGAATTTAATCCTCTAAACAACCCCATGAGGCAGGTGTTATTAATATCGTCAGTTTTACAGACGTAAAGCCTCACGTAGGTTAACGTTCCCAGAGGATACTTTTATACACTGTTCAGCCCCACAGAAATCAAAGCACCCGCTCAACTCCGGCCGCTCTACGACCGAGCGCACCCACCGCGCATGCGCAACGCGCGCTCCTCCCGCGGCCGCACAAACCCCGGCGCGGGATCCACGCGGAGTCCGCATCCTCCCCCGGGGGCCGAGTCCCCGCCTCCCTGCCTCCCAAGCCGATTCCTCCCAATAGAGATTCTCCGGTCCCGTGGTCCCTCCACCCGGCCGACGCCTCCTCGTACCCAATCTCTCGGGTAGACTAGCCGAGGGTCCCGCCGGGGTCCGCGAGCCTCTTCCCTACTGCCAGGCATCGCCGCCCCCGCCCGCTTCCTGGACCCCCGCAGGGACCCTCTCGTATCTTCCCAACCCTCTGGTCTCGCCCACCCTCCCACTCGGGCCGCGCCAAACTCCCAAAGCGGCATGCAGACCTCCAGAGTCCTGAACGTTCCGGACCGTCTCCCACAGTAGGCCGGAAGACCTAGGAGCGCCTGCGAGGTACTGCGCATGCGCAGGAGGAGCCGCAGAAGACCAGCTCCCTTGACCACGTGCGGCGGGCTCACAAACTTCCGGACTTCAGATCCCATAAGCCTGCTCGCCCAGGACTTCCGAGAATTTCGGAAACGTTGTTTCTTTACCAATTCAGATTGTGGCATGGGGTTGTCGCTTCTGTAGGCAGCCCTGAATTTTTTCAGTACCTCAAAGAAATAGTCTCACAACCAGTGTGCCTTTTTGAACGCCAAGCGACCAAAGGAGGCAAAAATGTAAATCAATGTGCGTTATGAATATAAGTAGGGTACCTTACGTATATACTAGAAAGCAAAACGAATTAGATACTAGGAAACGCTAGCAATAAAATAAAAATAATACAGTTTCAAAGTAAACAATAGATAAAATAATAGCATCTCAGCAGCGAAGAAGATAAGCAACTAGGACTTTCAAATGTCAAATAAAAATAAATCCAGACTTAGGTAAGGAGAAACTTTTTTCAGAAAGACTTGCAATCGGAACAAGGCTCTGATTTCAGGATCTGAAAGCATCTCAAAATCAAATAGAAAAAGGCTTCTCTGGGGCGCCTGGCTTGCTCATTTGGGGGAGTTTGTGACTCTTGATCTCAGGGTTGTGAGTTTGAGCCCGATGTTGGGTGTAGAGATTACTTAAATAACTAAATAAACTTTAAAAAGACTTTTCTTTTAGAGGGAGGAGTAAGATGGGTCAGCAGGTACTTTTGAGAGGAAACTAGGCAAGTGAGTGGGGGAGGTGAACAAAATGCATGATGGGGTAGTCTGATGTGAAATGTTCCCACTGTGGTCAGTGGAGCTGTTCAGGGTGCTTGCTCAGACCTGGGGACAAAACAAAATTCAGGAGCTTGTGAAAGGAAGCAAAGCCTGACCAAAGTTTAGTCAAGGTAAGTCAGTGTGAACCTGACCTATAAAAAAATTCTAAAAGGCATCCTTTAGCATGAAAAGGAAGGCATTAGACATTAGATAGTAACTTGAAGCCATATTAAGAAATAAAGAATACCAGTAAAGATAACTACATAGGTAAATGTAAAAAAACAGTATCATGTATTTTTTTAGTAACTCCTCTGTTTCTCGTGTAAGGTAAAAGATAAATGCACCAATGATTAAGTATAAAACAATGTTCATACCAAGAAACACATAAATTACCAAAACTGAAGAAGAAATAGAAAACCTCAACAGATTCATAACAAATAGAAATTGAATGAGAAATGAATAACCCCAACAAAGAAGAGCCTACTATCAGATGGCTTTACTAGTGAATGCAACCAAATATTTAAAAGAATACTTAACATCAATCCTTTCCCAACTCTCCCACAAAATAATGAAGGAGAGAACACTTCACTCGTTCTATGATGCCAGCATTCTCCGTATTCAAAACAAAGACATCAAAAAGAAAAACTACAGGTGAAAATTATCAGTATAGTTATAAAATCCTCAACAAAATACTAGCAAACACACACACACACACACACACACACACACACACACACACACTCTCTCTCTCTCTCTACTAGCCATGATATATGAATTAGGTTAAGGTTTAAGATACAAGATCAATACTGAAAAATCACTTGTGTTTCTATACAGCAGCAATGAATAATCTGAAAAGGAAATTAGGAAATTCCATTTCCAAAGGCATACAAAAGAATAAAATACCTAGGAATAATCTTAAGAAGGAGATAAAGAAATTATACACTGAAATCTGTAAAACATTGCTGAAAGAATTGAAGTAGACTGAAATAAATGGAAAGACATTCCATGTTCATGCCATGGAAGACATAATGTTGTTAAGATGGCAATATTACTCAATCTACAGATTCAATGCACTATCCATCAAAATTCCAACAGCCATTTTGAAGAAATGAAAAAACCAATCCTCAAATTCGTAAGGAAATATGAAGCATCTCAAATAGCCAAAGCAATGTTGAAAACAAAGTTGAATGACTCACACCACATGGTTTCTAAACCTACTACACAGCTACATAAAAGAGAACAGTGTGGTGCTGCTTTAAGGATACACCTACAGAATAATGAATAGAGGGCGCGCCTGTGGCTCACTTGGTTGGGCGGCTGCCTTCGGCTCAGGTCATGATGCTGGAGTGCTAGGATCGAGTCCCACATCGGGCTCCCTGCTCGGCAGGGAGTCTGCTTCTCCCTCTGACCTTCCCACCTCTCATGTGCTCTCTCTTTCAAATAAATAAAATAATATAAAAAAAAGAATAATGAATAGAATTGAAGGTCCAGAAATAACCACATACCTCCATGGCCAATTCATTTTTGACAGCATGTATTGGCAAATAAAGACAAAAATGAATAGAACAGAATAGAAACCAACACAAATACAGTCAACTGATGATTTTGGCAAAAGAGCAAAGGCAATTAATTTAATGGAGAAAAGATAGTTTTTCAACAAATAATGCTGGAACAATAGGTCACACATATGCAAAAGAAATGAATCTAGACATAAAACTTACACTTTTCACAAAAATTAACTCAAAGCGGACCATAGACCTAAATGTAAAACCTCCAACTAAAAACCTTCTATAAGAAAAAGGTGAAAATCTAAGAGATTTTGGTGATATATTTTTATACACAACACAAAAGTATCATCCATGAAACAAAAAAAATGGGCAAGTGGGACTTTATTAACATCAAAAACATCTACTCTGTGGAAGAGAGAGCTAAGCAAATGAAAAGACAACAGAATAGAAGAAAATATTTGCTAAACACATATCTGATAAAGAATTTGCCAAAAAAAGAGAATTTGCATCTAAACCATACAAAGTGTTACTAAAACACAATAAAAAAGAGCAATCCAATTATTGTATATTAAAGTATATTCTGAGAAATAACAAAATGTAAATATTTAAAATATCACATAATATATTGTTATGACATGATGAGATTGGCAAACATTTAAAAAATTATATGAAAAGTGTAAATACTAGGAGATATCCAGATTTGATGTGAATTTGGGCAACTGGTTATTTCTACCAAATTTTTGTGTAAGTACTAAAAAACTTTCTAGAAGCTTCTTTGTATCACACTTCAAAATGAACATGTTCTTTATTGCTAGATAAATCATCGATGCAATTAAAGAAACTATCACTACATGATATTACAGGAATACAGTGAACTTTATATTCATAAATTCAACAACTTAGAAGAAATGAATTTTTTGAAAATCACAAACTTCCGAAACTCAACCAAAATGAAATAGACAATCTGAATAGTCCTACAACCATTTTAAAAACTGGATTTGTACTTAAAAATCTCCTAAAAGAGAAAATGCAAGGCCCAGATGATTTCACTGGAGAATTCCACCAAACATTTAAAGAATTCATTCAATTTTACACAATCTTGTTCAGAAAATAGAAGAGGAGGAAACGCTCCCCATCTAATTTCATGAGACATATATTACCCTGATACCAGTATCAACCAAGAAGTACAAAAATAAAACTACAGGCCAATATTCCTCATGAACTTAGATGCAACAATCCTCAACAAAATACTAGCAAACTGAATCCAACTATATATAGATATGGATAAGATATCTATCTATCCATAAAATACACCATGACCAAGTAGAATTTATTCCTGGTGACAAAGCTGGTTCAACATCAAAAAAAAAAAAAATCAATCAGTGTAATCCACTATATCCACAGGCTAAAAGTCACCGGCAATTCTACATAAAGTCAGTGTTTAATTTCAGGATTTCTCCATTGCATGTATAGGCACCAACTGGCCTTCACTGTGTTGCCCCATGGGTACTATAGGTCAGAGAATCAGTGCTATGAAGCCACTCTGGCTGGTGCTTTTGCTGACAGTAATAAACTGTCTTTATCTCTGACCCAAAGACCTTGTGTTTTCTGTATTTGTGTGCAAGTGTGTATTTGTGATTTTACCTTTCTTAAAGCTAATAATTTAGCCAGTCACAGTTTTATCTAAATGGCAGGCTAACTTGTTAGCTTGCAAGTAAAATGAGAATCTCATACCCTTCAGTTTGTAACTTAATGGCTAATGTCCACCAAAGGGCATCTATTATAGAAGGCACTTTTGATCAGGTGGACAAAATAGTATGCTCTGTGAATGTTAGCAAGACTCTTTCCCCATCTACCAGAGTGATCATGGCCCCAATTAGCCCCTGAGTAAAGTGGTCATGGTAACAGAGATGGACATTATACATGGGCTCAGCAACATGGACTTCCCCTAACCAAGGCTGACTTAGATAATGCTACTACTGTCAAATCAGTTATCAAGAAGAGAGATCAACCCCAAGTCCTGATATGCCAACATTATCTGGGAGAACCAATAAGCCACCTCCTGGCAGGATGATTATATTTGACCTCTTCCATCATGGAAGGGGCAGAGATTCATTCTTATTGGAACAGATACATATTCTGGATATGGATTTGTCTTTCCCATCTGCAATGCTCCTGCCAGCACCACTAGTTGTGGTCTCAAAGAATGCCTTATTCACTATAGTAGTATTCCCCATAGCACTGCCTCTGGTCAAGAAATTCATTTCACAACAAAGGAAGTGTAGCATTAAGCTCATGCCCATTGAATTAACTGGTCATACCAAGTACTTTATCACTCTGAAACAGCTGGTCTAACTGAAAAGTGGAATGGTTTACTGAAGATTCAATTATGTTGCCAACTGGAAGACAACATCCTCAGAAGGTATATACGGTCTTTAGGAATGCGGTATATGCTCAAATGAGCATAAGTCACTGCTGCTTCCCCCATGGCTGCTAGGTCCCTAGCACTCACAGAGCATTACTGGCCCTACCAAATCAATGGGGGGATTTTTTAATATACTCTCACACCCCCAGTCCACAAGATTTTAGGCCCTCAGGGGTTTTAGAAACTCAGAGACTCCTCAACCCCAAGAAGACCCTATAGGCCTCAGGGCCCACACAAGTTTTCCCACTTAAAGCAAATGGAGGAGCACTAGGGCCAAGGTGATG